GATGAGCATTTTAACCGAATTGTCACCCAGTTGAATTCGACTCACCCTAATCTCTCCGTGTCGTATGAAAGGAAACAGCAAGATACGCTGCCGTTTTTAGACCTTCTCATCAAAACGCGAGCCGGAGGTACACTCCAACGCACTGTCTACCGTAAAGTTACTTGGAGTGGGCAATACATGCATTATATCAGCTTCGCACCGGTTGCATACAAACGCGCTCTCGTCAGAACCCTTTACTACAGAGCCAGGCGTATTTGCAGTCCAGAGTTGCTGAAGAGTGAAGAAGTGTTTCTACATAGGACTATTATGTCAAACGGGTATTCGGAGAAAATTATTAAGTTACACAGAAGCCAACAGTACAAACGGTGGAGATAAACGAGGTTTGTTTATTTCTACCGTTCAAAGGGGACAATGTTTCAGATGAAATTGGTTCAAAAACTTAGGTCTGTTGTAACGCACAGTTATACCACCGTGTGTATACGGATTCTTCACACAACACGGAAACTCGAGCTCAACTACCGTCCAGACAGTTCGTCAGTCGGTATGGCCTCTCATGTTATTTACCAGTTCAACTGCAGTTGCCGTGACGTCTATATAGGCGGAACCGATCGGTGACTGGCTCAAAGGGCGGCTGAGCATTTACCAAAGTGGTTGAAGCAATCCATGGTAAAACATGGAGGGAAGGATCAACTTGGGAGCCGGAATTGCGCCTCATCTAGTACAAAACACCTCGTGATGACACACCATCACATGGATTCATCGAAGGCCTTAAAAGTGCTATTGGTCAACCGCAACTCGAAAATGCTGGCATTCAGTGAGGCATTACTGATCACGGTAAACCGACACAGTGGACACAGATTCAGAACGTCCTATGAAAGTCCGCTGTCAGTCTGTGACCACAAGACGAGCTGTTAGTCTATTGGATCTCCGCACAGTCTCTCCAATTAATGAAAAGTCGTCGAATGATTCCCGCCGGAGTTGAGTACAACGCACTATGCAGAACCACAGGTGCTGAGCTCAGATAGCTCCTCAGGAAGGATCGCGAGGTTTGGTGGACACAGCGCGTCGTTGAGATGGAGCGCACAGCCTCGTCAGGAAACGCCCGCAAATTCTTCCAACTTATTCACTCCACGGGAGGCAGAAGACCAACAGTGAGTGAGGTTTTGCGTGAAAATGAAGGTGAACTAATTCACAGTCGTCACCGTCGCCTGGTATGATTGGCGGAACACTTTGAAGATAAGTTCAACTGGCCAGCAGCGTAACCGAGTACATCTTCCGGGGTTCACAGTGCTCTCTGGTGCGTGGATGTTTCTCCACCGACAAAGGCTGTGGTTTCCAATGAGCTTCGCCTACTGAATCGCCACAAGTCACCTGGTCCAGATGAACTTCCACCTGTCCTCTTCAAATATGAAGGTACTGCACTCACTCGCGAACTGACATCTCTATTCCAGCAGATTTGGAATACTGAAACCATTCCATCAGACTGGAATTTAGCGGACGTTGTACCTGTTTACAAAAAAGGAGACCAGACCATTTGCTCCAACCATCGTGACATCAGTCTCATTTGTGTCGCATCCAAACTGCTCGATGCCCTACTCTTACGGAGGCTCAGTTGCGTACGGGAACAGCACCTACGTGAACAACAAGCTGGATTTCGTCCGGGTCGCAGTTGCGTCGATCACAACTTTACGATCTGCCAGATACTTGAACATCGCCATACGTTCAGTCGACCAACTATAGTCATATTCTTGGATATTCGAGCCGCTTTTGACTCTGTTGACAGAGTGGCTCTTTGGGATTGCTTACTGAAGAGGGGAGTACCTGAGAAGTACATCAACATTCTCCGTGCCATTTACCATCATACTGCGGGCAGCGTGCGAGCATACTGAGACATTTCGCCCCCTTTCAGTATCACTAGCGGTGTTAGACAGGGTTGCCCAGCCTCGGCATTCTTGTTCAACTTCGCCATGGACGAGATCCTGGATCCTGCCTTGGATAACTCTGAGTCCTGTGGTGCTGAAATGCTCCATGGTGACCGTCTTCTGGACTTAGAGTACGCCGATGACATCGCTGTGATTTGCGAGTCCTCCCAAGCCGCCCAGCATGTGTTGATCAGACTGGAGATGTCCGCCTCCCAATTTGGTATGACCTTTGCCCCTTACAAATGTAAGGTCCTATTACAGGACTGGCCAAGCGCTTGTCCTTCGTTCACCATTTCGGGGCTTTCGCTAAAAGTTGTCGACGAATGCATTTAACTTGGGAGTTGTCTTAGCATTGGCGGTTTGAGAGATGAGATCTCTCTGCGTGTCTCCAAGGTTAGAGTAGCTTTCGCTAAACTTCGTCACTTGTGACTTCATCGTGAGTTCAGCCTCGCTCTCAAGAGACGAGTCTATAATGCTCCGGTACGAACAATTCTGCTGTACGGCTGTGAGACTTGGCCGTTCACAAAAGCGATGTTCAGCGACTAACTTTCTTCGAACACCGCTGCCTACGAAGCATTGCTGGTGTTCAGTAATGAGGAAGTTCGTAGGCGAGTCTTCAGATCTCACAAATTCCACCGACCGATTGATAGCACCATTTCACTGCGGAGGCTTCGCTGGCTTGGGCATGTGCTCCGCAAGTCTATCCAGCGGCAGCCACGACGAGCCTTATTTGCGAGCACAGGCGTAGCTTCGAAGCGACGAAAAGGAGGGCAATGAAAAACTAGCATCTAATGCGTTAAGGCGCAAACGTTGAAGCTGGCTGCTGTCGGGCGTTCCCGACTCCCGGGTGGGGGACCAAAGGATACCGAGCACAACTGTTTGCAAACGCTAGAGGAGATGGCTAAGAACCGTACGCAATGGCGCACTTGCTTTGAGGCCCTTCTATCCGAACAGTTGTTTTCCCTTTCACGCCATTTTTCCTCTTATGTGTTGTGGCACTCGGCCAATTATACTGTAATGGGTATGGTATTGAATACATATTTTTTCACACACCATTTTGCCCTTCTCATTTAGGAGTCAATGCACGTAAAATCCGAAATTCTCGCAAACTTGCGCATGTTGCTTCTACTGCAACCAGTTTTGCGCCATTGCTTCGAGAGTTGTAAACAACTACGACACTTCGACTTTGGGTCCCCAACCGGGAAGTCCCACGGGGCCAGCGATGGCTAGTCCCGATGTCAATGATTTCATCATCATCATTATATACGACAGCTAGAGGGGTAAAATACCTCAGCTACCGTGCCGCAAAACATAAAGAAAAAAAGAAAATAAATACAACAGTTGCATGCCAGTTGAGCTACCAGCAACGGATAGGCATCGTTCCGGTAAGCTACCAGCCAGCTAGTACGCAAAAAGAAAAGAAAATTTGTTATCTTTTACGCTACGAAATGAGATCGTAGGTGGAGGAGGAGGCTAAAAAGGATGGGGAGGGACAAAGAAACTCACAGCACGAACGCCACTGAGGTCGGCTCCTAGCCATGTCAGCAAGTCTACCTAGCCAAACGTGTTCATCGTCTTTCGGACCCCAACCAGGGATCCGTGACGCTCCAACTGAGGCCAGCTTCGAAGTGACGGCGCTCATTCCTCTGGAAGAAGTCATCGCATGGCCACCCCTCCTCTTCTCCCATCCACACCCCCGGCGCGCAAACAACGCACGTCGTGGAAGTCGGTGGGTTGGCATGCCCAACACGTGGCCGAGTCATCGTAGGCTGGTGCGTGAAATAACGGTGCTGAGCGGTTCAGTTCCTTTTCCTGTGCTGTAAACAAGGCGTCGAACACGCTCGTTGCTCACGCGGTGCTCCCACCAGATGTGAGCCAAATTGAGAAGGCAACGGTGGTCGAACGTAACCAGCCTCTTTATTTTCACTGATCTAAAGGGCCAGGTTTCGCAACCGTATAGTAAGGTCGAAAGTACTGCTGAATTGTACACTCTACCATTCAGGGAGAGAGTGATGTCGCGCCGGCGCCATAAGTGGCGATGGTTAGCAAGAGCGCCTCGAGCATTTTGCTATATATTTCGTGATCTCATCTTCGATTCCGGCGGCGATCACACAACTCCCTACGTAGTTGAATTTTGAACGACTTCCAGCTGATCCCAGCCAAGGGTCAGCGCAGGAGGTGATCGCTGCCAATCTTGGAGAAACGCTTTGCACTTCGATGATGCAAAGCAAAGCCCGAAGCGGCTGACAGCCAGTGCTAATCTGTCCAGTGCAGCCTGGCACGTCTGGGAGCTGTCACAGACGAGGGCAATATCGTCTGCATACTCCAAGTCAAGAAGTCGTTCTCCTGGGACCAGATCCACACCTTCCAACTCGTGTCCTGTGAACGCGATTTCCATGACTTAGTCAACAGCGAAGTTAAAGAGGAAACGTGATTTTTGTCTTGTTGAAGTGTGCAGACTGAACGTAAACCGTCTATTTAGGTCGACCTATACCCTTAGCACAACTACTGCTAGTCGTTTCCTTGGGCGTGCATTATTGTCTAGTCAGGATGCATCCACTCGGATGAAACCTATTATTACTGGTACCTTGACAAATGGCTCATGATAACTAGATCCACGGTATCTCGGTGATCAACTGATGAACAGATTGCATGTACAGAGAAGGCGAACGATGGTCAACGAAAGCGCAAAAGGAATGTAAACCATTAGCATGGAATTGCGTTGCTTATCCTGTACACGATATAAATCGGAATACCCAGACAAGCAAATCGAAATCGCTGAATAAAAGAATCGTAGTTCCGAGGTGTATAGGTGAAAATGAGAAGAATTTGTCGCAGATGCCACGACACGATCTTGCGGGAACCGTGATGCGAGTTTCGATAAGAAGACAAATAAATGTAAATAGATTAATAAATTTGCAAAATCACACAGGTGGGATGGAGAGTGACCGAGCAAAGCAACCCTGCCGTCGAAGCGCGTGAATAGCAAACATAATTCAAAATATATTCATACAAGAAAATCCCAGTAAATGAAGTTTAAGAGCAAAAGCGTTAAAAGAGAAGTAGAAAGCGACTCACGGGATGCCCGATTGCACTGAGTTCGTCAGTGGTCAATAGATCCGAGGGTACGGTCGGCGTTGTTCCAGTGTAGTGCGTGTCCGGAGTGGAGGGTTCGCCTGGAAACTGACGCCTAGTGGAAGATGCCGCAACACTGGCCGCAAGCACTTCATCGCCTAAGGCGGATGAAGTTATTTCGGTGTTGCCATGATACTTCAATCTATGATGGCCCCTGGCAGGAACTGAGTCGTCGGAAGACTCCTGTCGGAGAGAAGAAAATATACAAGGGTTAGCCAGATAATTTGACGTGGTTACGTAACAAGCAGTTGCGATAATGCTTCCCAGCAACCCACAATACACGCAAGAAGTCAGAGCGGGGACACTAGCGGCAAGCAGTGCAACGGCTTGGATTCGAATACGGATGGAGCCGAAGGATGCGTGTTACTGATAAGTCCCGATAAGAAGAAATCGTCATCTAGTGCTTTTCCGGGAGTGCGGATGAGTATCAAACTTGGAAACTAACACAGAGAGCCCTCAAACAAGTATACGGCAAATAACTTACTCATGAGTCTATCAGCGTGATATTGGTTGACAGCATTCGATTCTACAGTGGTCAGCCACTGTATAAATGGAGGGAACCATGCGTGCCAAACATACACGAGACGGCGGTGAAATCACCGTCCTGCCTCCATCAGCAACGATTTGCAGTCTACTACAACCAGTATTAATGGAGGTGACAGCCTCATAAGAGTGGATATTATGTGAAAATTCGGCCGGGGGCAAATGGACCTGGTGTTTAGCACACAAAACAAACATCAATTGATAACACGATCCCAATGAGGATGTGTCATGTTGCCATGGATGAAGCGGAATATAGAGTTCCCCAGATGCCGCTTTCCAAGAGGGGTATGACGAAAGTGAGTGGCTGACCAGATCGGATCAGGTGAATGATACACAGCTGCGCCATGCTGGCGAGGAGGAGGAGGACAACCACGAGGAGATGTTGGTACCCGCCTGTGACTTTCGTTCGCACATTTAGATGTATGTCAATAGCTCCAAATCTCACTCTGGTCATCAGTTAGTTTAGTTTACTCGGAGAATGTCGTATGACAGTTGTAAACACTGCTACACAGACAGTCGGTAAAAGCACCAAATATGCATATCTGCATATCCAATTGCTTGTTCTCATGTTCGATACCCATACTCCTCCCACTCACCTATGTCGATGTGCTCCACACTGTGAAAATATAGATCCGACAACCTGATGCACTTTACAGTAGCTGCACACCCCTTCTTGATGATCATTATTTCCGTTAATCTACATTATTCTTTTTCCTTTCTCATGGATGGAGGAATTCCAATGTAAACATTCTTGGGGTACTTCAAGTCAGATAGACTTTCACATGTCCAGAAAAGCACTAGAAAGCTGTGTGTGTGTGTGTGTGTGTGAGGAGTTGCAGATGACTATTTTCCTTGCGCAGCGAGAAAAGAACATCTGCACACTGTGATGTGTTGAGCACAAGACAGCAAGATTTAGAGAATGTTGTGAAGTTGTCCAAGAAGCATTACAAGTTAGCCGATGAAGCTGTGGTGTGATTGGGTACACCAAGGATCACGTCATCAGCATGCTTTAGCAGGATGGCTTCTTTAGGAACGGGAATTGAGCTAATATAGGTGGAAAATAAGAATGTGGTCTAACTACCTGCCTGAAGGACATCAGAATTGGTAGGGAAGGAGGAAGAACTTTTTCTCTCGAACCTGGTAAACTGCGAAAGATTGGCAAAACAATTTGATATTCCAACATATAAACAGTTATCACAATCACATCTCATGTTTTGGATCTCAAGAATCTACCCAGCTTGTCAAAACTAATATTTGATCAAGCTAAAATCGTCGCATATCTGCTTGTACAAAACTGGCCATGCCTTCTTTAGTGCGCCTTGTGTAACATCAAGAATAAACCTTGTTTAATGTTTAGTCTGCAAGAGCTACTGAAGATTGGGCGCCAGAAAAGAACAGACCGTGGAAAAGCAGTCCACGGTCAATAAAACCGAAAGCATTACTGTAATCTAGGAAGCAAATCCAGGTGGGTTAGCACGTTTACTATCAAGCGATGAAAACACGGAGTGCACAAGACAGGCTAACGTATCCAAAGTAGACCATGAAATGTGGTAGGCAATGCATCTTCATTGCTTGATTGTCTGGTTTTATTTCAAGGAAAGCTTTATGCACCCAGATGGATGCGTTTTTAGCATTTTACACTATCTACCACAAATGAAATAAAACCATCATCAGTAAAGGTTAGAATTTCACACTTTAAAATAATAGAATGGTTAGAGAGTGCACAGATGTCACTTAAGTAAACAGTTCCGAAGATTTGTGCAACGACCGCACATTGATTGAAGGAAGTAAAGGATTCTTCATCTAGTTGACGTGGCCAACATTTTTTTAAAACGTTTATTGATAGCTTGTTTCGACTGGATATAAGCAGCAAACCGTGAGTTTTGCGCAGTGCCTCGGATCCTTTTTCAAAGAATCGGTGGAGTTGAGCGAACTCAGTGACCTTGAAATCATCCAGCCAAAGAATTCGTCAAATGATGCAAATAAAATTGATACGTTTGCAGCAGATAGCGCAAAAAATGATGTTTTGGGGAGAGCGGCAACGGCCAATTTAAAGGCTCCACCTTACTGTATTGAAACAGGTCAACAGCAAGGTATTGGCGCCTTTATAGTGCTTTTGACTCAACATCAACCGCAGCGATAATTTGGAATGCAGTCGGCCTGTAGCCTTAAAGATCATAAGCCTGTCTTGTGATTCCAGAGCGCGGGTTCGAGTCTGCGTAGGGACCGGGCGACCCTCGCAATATCCTTATCCTACAAGCGATCGGTGGTGGTTACGCGGCAGTGAAGCGTCGATGCTGCGTACTGACGCAATGCTGGTGCAGTCCATTAGTTTGTGAGTATTGATAACTGATTACTGACTGGAATCAGCAAGAAGAGAGCTGCATCTAATAGCACTCAGGTACAAAGACCTGTTATGTTGCAGTATGTTGGATATATTTAATATTTTCAAAGTGTTTGTGTAGAAATTTCTTAATTTCTGACACTGAGTTTACTTCAATTACGTGCTGCGGCAGCTCGTTCCATACATTCACCATTCTCCGTTCGGAACAGAGCTGGTGGGCGACCCGCTTCAAATCCGGTAGTACAAACTTGTACCGGTGTCGCTGTGTGTTGCTTGGTGTGCGTAGATGAAACAGTGGTCTCAACATGGGGTAATCACTCAAATGTAATATCCGGTGCGTCATGATGAGGTCAACCCTCAGTCGACGATAAGCTAGGGTGTAAAGCCCTAGTTTCTTACACCGATCTTCGTACGACACACCTCGTAAGTTGGGAATCAACCTGGTGGCTACATGCTGCACTCGCTCAAGCTTTTCTACCTCGACATGACAATCCGTGGGAGAGCCGTACTCTAGCATTAATCGTATTATTGAGACGAACAGACGAGAGGCAATCTCTTTCGGACCAAGTGCTGAAGCCGCGCCCGAGCGCCCAAAGCATACGAAGGCTGTTTTGGTAAAACCTGTTCGTATTGTTCATGGACTTTAGGTCGTAGCGTGAGAGTACACCGAGGTCTCGCATGAAAGGCGCGAGATGCAACGGTTGACCGGCCACAGTATAGGTTCGACTGTGCTCACACTTACCCAGCCTTATGAACTGCGACTTGACAGGGTTGATCAGAAGGTTGACCTCTGCAGACCACAGTCATAGGGTGTGCGGATTATTCTCCATACCTTCAAGTCATCTGCGAACAACGCACAAGGCGAACGGAGTAGCTGAGGCACATTGTTCACTGATTTGATGCATCCGCACATCACAATTGTTTGACGCGTCGCGCATGCACCTTTCGGATTATTACTTTTATCGAAAAAAAAGCTTTTTCAGCATTTCTAACTAAATCCCTTTCCTATCCGGAGATATGAGCATACAAACCATTGAGTGATTCTCAAACCCCTTCCATATTAATTCCTGTGTCTCGGGACTGCTCTCAATAACTGAATCACTGAAGAATTGTCATAAAACATCACGTGAATAACAATATGATCGGACCAATCACCAGCGCCATGCCGCGTACTGTCGAGAAATGAAACTACTAATTTGCATAATTTCGCGACTTCGATCTCGCAACATTACACTTCACGACTGACGGCCGTTTTCGTCCTGAGTTAGACTTGTCAAATAGAGATAGCCTGAGTTGAGAGGAAAACCCGACACAGTGGTCACGAAGTCAGTAGTTGAAGGATAACCTGCCGTTGTACATTGTAATAATCCTAATGTAATCGAGCAACCGGACTGCTTTCGCAATTTTCCTCTGTAATATAACCTAAAAAAGCAAAGCTTGTTTAGCTCAGAAAAAGTTTTCAAAGTAACCTATTGATTACAAGACCTACACTCACTTGGTGACTTAAATTACCCGAAGGGCTACCTTGTCTGTCCGAGGGTCCTGGATCTTGCACAGCGAAAGCACCAGTAATGGTAAGTGACTTTTGTTCAGTTGGGCATTCGGATAATTTGAATGCGTCAGTGGCGCTCACGGTAGCTTGTTTCTCCGCTCTGGACACATTCGAACGACGACCCATGTGAGCGAATCGCTTAGCCAAGCGACCGCCAGATAGGTTGGACCCACGATGATGTCGTAAACTTGATCGACCGTCTCGTACATCCGTAGCAAGAGGAAACGATGCAGTTTGAGTGCTTCCTCCAATTGGTAAAGTTTTCTTGGTGGGGGCCGTTTCAATCGGTCTCTGAGCTACACCGGCAGCGGGCGATAAAACCGTGTTTAGACACGTGTCTGGAGGAGTGTCAGCTTCGGATTGAGTAAATAGTTGTCTCTGAAGACGTTTTAGCAGCTTAGTACCCACATCCTGAGATGAGAAAACAATAGAAAAGTTTAGCACATTAGGAAATGTAAACACGCAACAAGAAATGAATTCAACAATAACACAATGGAAAGCATCAATGTGAGACCACATGTGTGACCGTCATTCAGCGGTGGAACATGTCGGCGAGATCGCATGAACCTATTGAGAAAAAGCACAGCACAATGACACACCACAGAGTACTAAAATTAGAAAGATAGAAGATACACATACGTTGTGTCCCATCGAAATATTATCGGTCACACATGCGGAATAACGTCATTAACTACCGCGCATTTACGACATACTACAGCCATATAATGTCTGATTCAGGCCGATCGGTAGCCTCAAGGATTACAAATCTGCCTTGTAATCCGGAGGTCGCAGATTCGAGCATGCGTAGTGGACGGGCGCGCGATTGTTGGTGGTTGCGAGGCAGCGAAGCGTAGGAACTGCGTACTGGCGCACTGCTGACGCTTACTTCCGATTCCGGTGAGATACAACCTCTAAATTTATGGTCCGCAAAGAGGGCGCATTCATTATACACGTTAGCTAGAGGGGTAAAACACCTCAGCTACCGTGCCGTAATACATTAAAGAAAAATAATTGCAACAGTTACATGCCAGTTGAGCTATCAGCAACGGATGGGCATCGTTCCGGAAAGCTACCAGCAAGCTACTATGCAGCAAAAAAATTACCATGCAAAATTACATAAGGCTAAATAGAGATCGTGGTTGGAGGGGGAGGCTAAAAAGGACGGGGAGGGACAAAGAAACTCACAGTAGAAAACGTCATTGAGGTCGGCTCCTAGCCATGTCAGCAGGTGCATCCAGCCAAAAGTGTTCGTCGTCTTTCGGACCCCAACCAGGGAGCCGTGACGCTCCAACCGAGGCCAGCTCAGAAGTGAGGGCCTTCATTCCTCCGGACCAAGTCATGGCTTGGCCACCCCTCCTCTTCTCCCATCCACATCCCCAGCGCGCAAACGACGCACGTCGCGGGAGTCGGTGGGCTGGCATGCACAACTCGTGGCCGAGTCATCGTAGGCTGGTGCGTGAAATAACGGTGCTGAGCGGTTCAGTTCCTTTTCCTGGACCGTAAACAAGGCGTCGAACACGCTCGTTGCTCACGCGGTGCTCCCACCAGATGTGAGCCAAATTGCGAAGGCACCGGTGGTCGAACGTAACCAGCCTCTTTATTTTCACTGATCTAAAGGGCCAGGTTTCGCAACCGCATAGTAAGGTAGAAAGTACTGCTGAATTGTACACTTCAGGGAGAGAGTGATGTCGCGCCGGCGCCATACGTGGCGATGGTTAGCAAGAGCGCCTCGAGCATTTTGCTATATATTTCGTGATCTCATCTTCAATTCCGGCGGCGATCACACAACTCCCTACGTAGTTGAATTTTGAACGACTTCCAGCTGATCCCAGCCAAGGGTCAGCGCAGGAGGTGATCCCTGCCAATCTTGGAGAAACGCTTTGCACTTCGATGATGCAAAGCAAAGCCCGAGGCGGCTGACAGCCAGTTCTAATCTGTCCAGTGCCGCTTCGCACGTCTGGGAGCTGTCACAGGTTATGGTAATATCGTCAACATACTCCAAGTCCAGATGTCGTTCACCTGGGCGCAGATCCACGCCTTCTAAGTAGTGTCCTGTAAACGCGATGTCCATTACTTCATCAATAGCGAAGTTGAAGAGGAAAGGAGACAGCGAGCGTCCTTGTCTCACCGCTGGAGATATTAAAGGGCGACGACAGCTTGCCGTAAGCAATCATTCTGCCTGAGCAACGCACGTATAACGATCGGATAATATTTACATGTTTCTCAGGTACACCTTTCTTGAGTAGACCGTCTCAAAGTGTACGTCTATTCACCAAATCGAATGCACCTTTGATATCGAGGAACACGACAACGGTGGGCCCCCGCCAAAATATGTGACGGAGCTCCAACCATTGAAGCAAAGTAAAGATGTGGTGAATGCAGCCACGACCTCAACAAAACCAACGGGACGGCTGGGTGTCCAGCACCAAACGCCAGATAACGAACAGCAGTATCATGCATTCGGTTGTCAAGGAAGTCATCGGCCGGACCCAATTCATACAATAACACTGGTCACTAAACCTGCATCCGCCGTTCTCATAAGTAATGAAGGAAGTAGAAAATTTGCTCGAACTATGTACTCCACACAAGCGGTTTCGCGTTTGCATGGAGTTTTCAGGCGGAAGTGACCCGACCTAGATTTGAGGCGAAGAGGCAGAGTTGGTTGACAAATGCTTCTCATCACTATATCACACAGCTCCACAACGACACAGGGACTAGGAGTAGCACTTGGTTCGGTGGCCTAGTGTATCAAAACTCACGCTGTGAGGTGAACCGGGTTTGGGTCCAACCCAGGGGGTAAAAGTAGTCAGCGCGCAGCGTGTTCTGACGGAACAACACAAGGCGACTCTCCACAACAGCCAAAGTAGTGGAGCTAGTCGAGGTTTCAGTTGAGAGAAGTTCCAGTCATGTTGGAATGAGTGTCACGATCCGCACAAGCAACGCGTACTCACGAAACAAAGCTGTCCGTTCGTTGGTGCGCGTAAGAACATGCCAGTTCCTCATACCCGCAGTACTCCAGTAAATGTGACGCACACGGGAGGGGAACCACATGTATCAAAATGCGCAAGGAAGCGTTGGCTAAAAACTGCTTAAACAAGGCACCAGTATTTTTGTTCATCGCAGTCAGCCGACAATTCAGATAAGTCTACTACCTATCCAGAAAAGCACCAGACGGCTGTTTCGCCCTATTGGGGCCCGTCAGTGGTGCGCATCCTTCGGTCCTCTACCGAGGATCGAACCCATGACTGCTAGTGGCTCGTGCCATCTAGCCCGCTGCTTATGAAACAGAGCCATGGAGGACGGCAGACGACCATCACGAATTGTTAGCTAACCGCGATACAGCCCGACCCATCCTCTACTGCTATGCAGATGACAGCGGTTGGTTGTCGGCTGACTGCAACGAACAAAAATACTTGCTAAAATCATTCTACTCATAAGTATTAATACAAATTTGCCCTTACGGATTCCATAAATGCTATGTAGATTCATAGCTGCCGTAATCGGGTAGTCTTGACGCCGGAAGGCCAACCGCTGTCATCTGCATGGCAGTGGAGGATGGGTCGGGCTATATCGCGGTTAGCTAATAATTCGTGATAGTCGTCTGCCGTCCTCCATGGCTCTGTTTGATAAGCAGCGGGCTAGATGGCACGCGCCACTAGCAGTCATGGGTTCGATCCTCAGTAGAGAACCGAAGGATGCGCACCACTGACGAGCCCCAATGGGGCGAAACAGCCATCTGGTGCTTTTCCGGATAGGTAGTTGACTTATCTAAATTGTCGGCTGACTGCGACGAACAAAAATGCTTGCCAAAATCCTTCTACTCATAAGGCACCAGTAAAAGTCAGCTGTATCATTGCGTGGGAGTTGAGTGATGGAGTAATTCATCTGGCGGATACAGAGAGAATATTCATTTCCTGGCTGGGAAAAATGCAGGATAGTGTGTAAGCTTCTGAGAAGCAGTAAAAGCACACCAAGCGTCGATAGAACTCTATTCTTTACGCAACAACGTAGATAATTTTACCGCTCCCAACACAAAAATTCCCTGACCGATGTTTCATATAAGCCTAACACAGCGGACAACCGCTGTGAAATCTCTCCACTCCCAACAGTTTCATGCGGATCGTATTCACATACCTAAGCATGTTGCTTCAAAGTTTTTGCATTGGGATACAGGCCACATCGCCGTATTTCCCTCCAATAAAGCTTGCGATAGGTGCTTGAATGCGCACATTTATCGAGTAACCTTAATTCAGCGCTGGACTCTTTGACCGAGTACGGAACTTCAGATAATCATGCAAAAGCTCGAGCAAAATAAGAGCAATGCTGATTTTCAACCAAGCAATTATTCCCATTTCGCTAACAGGAATCAGAACCAGAAATTGATGACAACTCGCTGCTTACAAACTTTCCTCCGCTAGAAACTGTGTGTAAGCTGGTTCAGCAACTGCACATTCATGCAACTTTGACGGAAATTTTGCAAAAGCAGTTGCTTCCTTGCTGCACGTAGAATGTACAGTTCACATTCAATGGCGAAATGAAACGTCAGATTGTTGGAATAGCCATGTGATGATCTCCTTTGGGGCCACTGCTGTCTGATATCTTTATGACGACATTATAACATGGCCCAGTTAGAACGCACATCAGTGACACTGTAACGTATGCTGACGATACTTTTGTACTCGAAGAATCCGAAAAACATGAGTTATCCGTAACTCGAGTGGATGTTGCAGTAGAAAGGTGCACAGAAAGAACAAACACTGACTGGACAGTGCACTAACATCCACACCGCAATAACTTTACGGTGTGAGAGTAGGAGTTTGATCCCATTTCTTGTCTACAAGATGCGCAGTATTTGCACACCGGATACAGCCAACGAAAAAATTACAAGAAATCAGTGATACCGTGAAGAAAAATAGTTACTCCCATAAATTTATCATGCAGAGGATGCAAAAGAAAGTCAGCTAAAAGAACATTGCTAGCAAGATAGAGCTATTCATACATCCACCACTCAAAGGCGATTCAGCTGCTGATACGCAACCTCGATCGATGAAAGATTCTGCTGGGAAAAGTGATTTCGCGGCCCAATTACTGATTACTGGTTAGAAGCAGCAAGTAGAGTTCGTTCTGTGTATCTGCATCAATGGTCACTCATGAACAAATACCCGTTATATTGTGTTCCGCTCAACATATTTTGCGTCGGCAAGGTGTTTGTCAAAGGTGTTTGACACTGCCTCAACTACTTCCTGCAGCAGGTCGTTCCATACATTCACCACTCTCCGTTCGGAACAGAGTTGGTGAGCGACCCGCTTCAAATCCGGTATGACAAGCTTATACCGGTGTCCTCGTGTGCTGCTTGGTGTGCGTAGATGAAGCAGTGGTCTCAACATAGGGTAATCATCCAGATGTAATAT